ACAGCACTGGCACCTGCAGTCACTATGCGGCACGTTAGGTCCTCAGAACTTTCTCATCTTACAGCTGGAAGTTTGCACCCTGTGATCAACCTTTCCTCGTTTACCCGCCCTCCTGCCCTGACAACCTACAGCCCTGACTCTCTGTTCCTGTGAGTTCAGCTTCTTTAGATTCCACATGTAAGTGAGATTACGCAGCCTTTGTCTTTCTCTGTCTGACTTATTTCGCTCAGCACGGTGCCCTCCAGGTTCACCTGTGCTGTCACAAGTGGCCGACTTCCCTTCTTTTTAGAGCTGAGTAATATTTCATTGTATGTACATTTCTCTTTTCCATCGATCCATTGATGGACACCATCTCCCCACCGTGTCTCTGCTGCTGTAAATAATGCTGCCGTGAACGCGGGGCTCCCTCTTTGGGAGAGCGATTCTGTTTCCTTAAGCCAGACACCTAAGGAGGTAGAATTGTTGGATCACATGGTGGTTCTATTTTTACTTTCTATTTTTCAGCAAACTCCATGCCTTTTGCCACGGTGGCTGCACCAACGTATACTCCCACCGACACTGCACGAGGGCTCCCTTTTCTGCACATCCTCGCCAGCCCTTGTTTCCTGTTTGTTTGTTTTTTAATACTAACCATTCTGACAGGTGTGAGGTGATACCTCATCGTGGGTTTGATTTGCGTTTTCCTGATGATGAGTGACGTTGAGCATCTTTTCCTGCGTTGCGTCGGCCATCTGGATGTCTTCTTGGAGAAAAAAAATGGCCATCCAGAGTCCCCTGCCTATTTTTAAATCAGATTATTTGGTCTTTTGCTGTTGACTTGTATGAATTCCTTATACCTTGCGGACGTTAACCCCTTATGGGTATCCGGTGTACAGATATTTTCTCCCATCCCGTAGGCCGCCTGTGCATTTTGTGCGTTGTTTCTTTTGCTTCAGTTTGACGTAGTCCCACTTTTGATTTTTGCTTTTGCCGTTTGTGCTTTTGGCGTCATATCCAAGAAATCATTGTCAATTTTTTTTTGTTTTTTTTTTGCCAAGATCCATGTCAAGGAGCTTTTCCCTTGTGTTTTCTTCTAGGGAGACCTGGTTTCAGGTCTTATGTTTAAGTCTTAAGTCGAATTTTTGTGAGTGGTGGAAGGTAGGGGCTAATTTTATGATTTTGCACATGAATATCCAGCTTTCCTAACAACGTTCATCAAGAGACCATCCTTTCCCCAGTGAGTGTTCTTGGTTCCCTTGTCAAATGTCAGTTTATTTCTGGGCTCTCTATTCTTCTTCTTCTTCTTCTTCTTTTTAATGTTTATTTAGTTTTTGAGAGAGAGAGACAGACAGAGCGTGAGCAGGGGAGGGGCAGAGAGAGAGAGGGAGACACAGAATCCGAAGCAGGCTCCAGGCTCCGAGCTGTCCGCACAGAGCTCGACGCGGGGCTCGAACTCACCAGCTGTGAGATCATGACCTGAGCCGAAGTCAGACGCTTAACTGACTGAGCCACCCAGGCGCCCCATGGGCTGTCCATTCTGTTCCACTGGGCTATGTGCCTGTTATGCCACTGCCATCCTGTTTCGAGCATGATAACTTTGTGATGTAGTTTGAACAGGAAGTGTGACCTCCAGCTTTGTTCTTTCTCAAGACTGCTTTTGCTATTTGGGGTCTTTTGTAGTTTCATATAAATTTTAAGAGTTTTTATAAAAAAATTTCTGTGAAGAAAGCTATTGAAGTTTTGATAGGGATTGTATCGAGTCTATAGATAGCTTTGGGTCGGTGTGGACATTTTAACAATATTAACTGTTCTAATCAATGAACATGGAATTATATATATATAATATACATACATAATTATATATATTATATATGCATATATAATATACATACATGTATATATACTATATATGTATATATATAAATGTATAGGGGCGCCTGGGTGGCGCAGTCGGTGAAGCGTCCGACTTCAGCTCAGGTCACGATCTCGCGGTCCGTGAGTTCGAGCCCCGCGTCGGGCTCTGGGCAGATGGCTCGGAGCCTGGAGCCTGTTTCCGATTCTGTGTCTCCCTCTCTCTCTGCCCCTCCCCCGTTCATGCTCTGTCTCTCCCTGTCCCAAAAATAAATAAACGTTGAAAAAAAAATTTATATAAATGTATAAAATATATAATTACATATAATTTAATTATATATAATTTATTTATATATAAATTTATAAATATATTTATAATTTATTTCTGTCTTCAAATACTTTGATGAGTGTTTTATATTTTCAGTATATATATATATATATATACTGATATATATATATACACACACATATATATATACATATATATATATATATATATCTTTCACCTCCTGGGTTAAATTTATTCTTAAGTATTTTATTGTTTTTGGTGCTATTTTTTCATGTTTGTCTATTTATTTTGAGAGAGAGAGAGAGAGAGCACGCACATGTCATATGCAAGAGTGTGCTGAGTGGGGGAGGGGCAGAGCCTGATGTGGGGCTGGATTCCATGAACTGAACCATGAAATCATGACCTGAGCCGAAACCAAGAGTTGGATGCTCAACCAACAGAGCCACCCAGGCTCCCTTTTATTTCTTTTTTAGATAGCTCATTGTTAGTATATAGAAATGCAACTGAATTTTGCATGCTGATTTTGCATCCTGAAGTTTTACTGAATTTGTTAATTGGTTCCCACGGAAGTTAATTTGTGATGAGGGGCCGCTCTAATCAGCCTCCAAAGGACTTCTCCCATCAAAACATTGATTGATGTGATTCTCCTGGGGACCCCTGTGAAACTGGCTGGTCAGGTCTCGTCATCTCAATGAATAGATGTGGAAACTGAGGCCCAGAGAGGGGAACGGACTCACCCAAGGTCACGAAGCAAGTGCCGAGAGTCCAGTCCTCCAACTCCCAGCTGGGATTTGCCTACTCCCCTTCCCCCATCTCCCTGGACCTCAGGTGGGAGAGGCGATGGGGAGCCAGCAAGATCCCGCCCCAGATCACTCACCCACCATTGGCCGGTGTCCTCTCTAGCTACCCATGTCCTTCCAAGCCCAGCAGAGGACGAACGTGACCATTTGCTTTCGCCATTCTTGTCCTGGAATGTGGAGGGGGCTGCCTTGGAAACGACCTCAGCTGGCACCGTCCCTACTCTGACCTTCCTGTGGGTGGTGTCCACCGCCCTGCTCCTCAAATGCCGTTTTTGGCCACCACCCTCTTGAAGCCCTCTGTCCAGTCATCGGCCCCCTCACTCTTGGCATTGGATCGGACGTCCTCCCCACGTGGAAAATAGCGCCCGTGCCCGTCTCTTCACCGATGAGTGGTTTCGCGTTCTCAGACGTCTCTGGACGAGACCCGCTTCCCCCGGTGGAAGGCCAACCATCTGTGGATCAATCCGCTTCCCCCCTCTGTGGGGGCCTGTCCGTGCAGCCATCTCCTCTCTCTCCCATTCCCTCAGCTTGTCCAGCTCTACTCCCACGGCTTCTCTGCTTGACTTTCCCCACATGGAAGCCTGAAATAAATCCTTCCCTTCACATCCCCTGGCCCCCTGAGTTCCTTCCATTTCCTCCCTGCCCACCCACTGGGTGTTCTCTCCAAGTGTAGGGGGCAGTTAGTGTCCTGGGAGTCAGCAGGTAAGTGCTGTTTCCCCCCGCTCCAGGAGGGTGGCACTGGGGTGCTTTCCACATGACCCTGGGTCCCTGGTGCCCATCGCTGTGACTCACTCACAGCTTTTCTCCCTTCCCTGCTCAGTCTCTCCATTCTCTTACCTGGGCTCATCTCCCAGGTAAACTATTGGTACCAGAGCCCTTGTTTCAGGGTTTGCTTCTGGGGACCTACCCTCAGACCCCCACCTGCCCTACCCCCCCCCACCCGCCCCCCCCCCCCCGGGGCGGTCACGCGTCGTCTCCTGCTCCCTGGTGTCCATTATTGTATTTCTTGAGGCAGAGTCTATCTTTTGCGATAGACCCTGAGCCCTTCAAGGGTAAAGAATGGCTCTCACTCACCTCTGTGTCCCCCTTCACCTGCACATCCCTCGGCCATCCCTGACCGCAAGTGTTTGTTGAGCGAGTGTGTGAGAAAGTGAATGGATGAACGACAGTCTCCAGGGCGCCCATCCAGGGTGACAGACCCTGCAGAGTTAGTCATCCCATCGGTGTGGCCCTTTCAACCAGCCTCTCCTCCCCCATCAGGCCTATCCCTTGCCCCCCTGCCAGGCTCCGTGGCCCCTCACTCTGCCGGCATCACGGGTTCCATCCTCTGTAACACAGTGGGCTCCCAGGTCCCCTCCTGCCAGACAAAGTCCTAGACAAGGACGCGCGCCTCTCGAGGGGAGATTCCGACGCCGGTTAAATAAAGGTTACTGGAACTGAGTGAGAAGCTATTATGATGTGACAGCATTCAATGCCACCTTCCAGCAGATGTCGCTTTGGAGGGATAGATTTGTCCCAGCTGGACTCCGGGGCGCATTCAGAAGCACTCAGAGCACCCACCTGCTGCTTCTGATGTGAGCAGCCCCAGGAAAGGGTAATTTCTACAAATCAACTTATTCAGCCCGAATGCATGGAGCCAACTTTCCAGCAGGAGGAATGAAAATCGTTGCTGGGGAAGTGGCGCGTTGTGCCAAGCCAAGCAGTGGTGTAGACCACGTCCGGCTTCGAGACCCCTGGGGGAACGGTGCGCTCGGAGGACATCCAGAAGGCCAGAGCCGCAGACTCAGCTCCTTGGTCCCGGGAGAGGTTTTACAGATGAGAAAAACGAGAAAACTGAGGCCTGTGGAGGCAAAGGAGGGGCCGTCCAAGGTCACATGCCCCAAGGCAGTGGCTGACCTGGATCTGAATCCAGGCAGATCTGCGCGGGGGGGGGGGGGGGGGGGGGGGGGGGGGGGGGGGGGGG